TATATATATATATATATATATACGTAATGTCAGCGTAATTTCATATAGCGGTTTGCAACGCATTTTAGATTCTCCAAGGAGATGTCAACCGATCCATTGGTTAGCTGGTCTAGCGGTACTCGTTGGGGTAATTATGGTCTTGGTAGCTCACGGCCATTATACCGTGGATGTACTTATAGCTTACTACGTTACTACACGTCTGTGGTATATTTATCACACGCTAGCCAACAATCCAAATCTCAAGGTACATTTATTTTACTTTCAAGTGTTGAAAATTTTCTACTCTGAAAAAAAAATTTACTTAATGATTGATAATATAATTTCAGTAACATTAATTATATGTAATATGTAATTATATACAAAACGTAACGTTTGATATATAATAATTGTAAATTTTTTAATATTACATGCGAAGTAATGATCAACATTTGCATTATAACTTGTATATTGTTAAATGCATAAAACAATGAAATTTTTGCAGCAATATGGACCAAACAATTTTTTGGCCCGACTCTGGTGGTTCTCTATTTTCAAGTATTTTGAGAAGAATGTGGGCGGCACAGTGCCACGACAATATGACTGGCCTCTACCCTGGCCTCGACGGTTTCTTGCCAAGCACCCTAATCGAGATAGTTAATACTTGTCTTGATTTCATGATAGAGGCTGTTAAAAACAAAGGAGTTACTATTGTTGTATATATTTTTACACACAAACACACACAACACAACACATACATACAAACACATACACATGCACTCACAAATGTATGTATAAATCGAGGCTTATTAACGTGGAGGTAAAAGTTCGCTAAAGAATATACATGGGACGTACGATTATTTTCAGAGTAACTGCACATTTATTGTTGAAGCATGAAGTATTTTGTGTTGTTCACTCTTTTTGTAATTCAATCGTGAATTCTTAGACACAATACCTGTGCTCTTTCACGTAAAATTATCGTCCAGTCAGCCCGAATTTACTTTTTGCTTGATTTTTATACAATTTATATACAGTATAAAGAATAGATATATAGGAAGATAGACTTTATGATAATATTGTAACGATTCGATAGAGGAAGATATTCAAACTATAACTATACATAATAACACGTTATTAATTCGCTTATGGCATTTATATTTTTAAATAGCTGCAAATTGAAAGTAATACAATAAATAAACATAGAATAAATGTGTGTTTTTAAAAACTTGAGCGAGTTTACTATGCAATAAGAAGTATTTGTAATCTTAAAATGGCCGTTATAGATGAATATTAGGTCGAAATCTAAATCCTTCCTCTAAACGAATCTTACATTCTTGATTTGAGTCGACGTCTTGACTTCCAATATCTGGACGTCGTCCCTGATTTTGCATTCGCGATACGAATTATTCCGATGAAAAACGATTTTGCAGACAAATTTGCCAAAAATATACTGTAGACTCGCGTGTTTATCTTCTAATTAAAGTTCTACATTACCGATTATCCTCGAAATTGCTCCCTTCGTGCTTCAGAGAGAATTATCCAGTATCCAGTACTAGAAGCGATTGAGCAATTTCGTGGGACCAAAAAAGAAACGCTCAATAGTAAATGTTAAACTCATATAATATTGACAAATTGAATATATCGAGTCGCGGAAAAAGCATAATCTCCGTTATAATGGAGATCATGCTTTTCCGCGGCTCGATATATTCAATTATATACACATTGTACATCATTGGTGTTGATAAAAAATTTTAACACTATCAAAGATTCCGTAACTTTGGTTAGATTACATATATGTATATGGCTCGTCGCGGATGAAATTTGAACCTCTTACCTGCCACATATGTATATTGTCGATTCATATTTCGTACATATAGCCTGCCTCGGATTTGGATAAGTTTATTAACAAATCTTGGATATTGAATTTCTAGAAGATACATTTCACTCTTCTAGCTTCCATTAGTTGATATACGAAAGTATCACACGTAGAGTATTAAGGAAAAAAGACAAAATAAAAAGAGGAAAGTACTGAAGCATTCGTGTTTTCACGGAATAAGATCGTTGTACGCTTGTGCATACACCGGATGTTGTCATACATACATATATATATATATATATATATATATATATATATATATATACATATTGCAGGGGCAATGTAACAAATCGTGCAAAATGTATAAAGTAATTTTGTATTCATGGAGAGATCGAAGTACAAAAATAACGAATAACTATCGATCTTCTATGATTCTTTCTTCCTTCATTCTTTTCGCGTTTCATTATTTCAGTGATTCTTTGCACCTTTTGCCCCGCATTTTTTTCTTACTTGAGAAAGAAGAATGACATAACTTAATGCTGTCGAAAATGTTGCGATTTTTCAAATATTTGCATAGGCTATTATGAATCTCATTTAACAATGTACAAATAATGTGGTAATAAATCGCGTGATCATTCGTTTTCCTAACATCCAACGAAAGTCGCGTGTATGCTGTATGTATGTTGTAAAAGTGCTGAGTAACCTTAATCATATCTTAAATTGCGTTACAGGTGATTTGTTATCTTGTCCACCTGTGATTCATTGTTGTGAATCTCTAATAAGTACGAAACGCACTTGCAACTTTCTTTCGTTTTTAATTGATTTTTTATTGCCTCTTATGTAGATAATACAACTAAGTAAATAATAAAACATTTTATACAACACTTCGCGGAAGTTTACGTGCAAATCTATATTTTTATTATATAGTTTGAGCAATTGGAGATGCGTTGAATTGTATAAAACTATATTTTTGTTATTTTTCATCGATTACGATTGGACAGATGTATTTGATAATTGAACAGAATTCGTGCAAAAGTTATAAAGAATGATGAGAGAGAGAGAGAGAGAGAGAGAGAGAGAGAGAGAGAGAGAGAGAGAGAGATGCGTAAACCCAGGGACAATAGAAATTGTGTTTGAATATCCAATGGCTCCCGTTTCCTCATTGTTCAACGGGGATAATCGCGTTTTATTCGTATTATCTTGTCGCGCGCAGGCCCTTTGGGGGTGGGTGCCCGGGCTGGCTGTCGACTCAGGGTCTTCATACAACGGGACGGATTAACTTCCCTCGTACGCCACAAAAACAGGTTCTCCCCTCAAAGTTCTCTTTCATGGCCGAAGCGGGCGGACTCATCGTCGTCGTTGTCGTCGTCGTCGTCGTCGTCGGCGGCAGCGGTAGCGCGCGGCGGACATTTTATCGTCGTCGCGTTCGTAAACTCCCGGTTGAAAATCTCCTCCCGGTTGCGCGCTTTTACCGCGTTACGTCATATTACGCACGCGGACACTACGTACTCGCGATACGATATTCGCACGGCTCATCCGCTTATATATACGCACGGATTAGGCACGTAATGGGAAATTCGGTGTGGCGCTGACGCTCCATCTCTGGCAACAATCGCCCCCGTCGAGCTAGCCGAAACTACTTCTCTCCAGTACATTAAGCTAGATTGCTGCAATTAGCCGCACCGCGCGTGTAAACTTCGCTGGCGCGAAGAGCGTTTGGCATCTGGCAGCAGATACCGGTAACAGATTGCGGTCATATATGCAGCGAGGGCTGTACGCGCGCGCGCGGCCCTATCGCGCCGATAGCCCGACGCGCGGAAAAAGTCGTTTCCTACCGAGATTAGGTATTTGCACACGCATCTGCAGCGGCTCTCTGCGAGCGTGAAATTGCGGCGGGCTAAAACTGTCGTTAAATTAATGGTCATTGCGACGGCTCTCGTTCCTTTTTTTTTCTTTTTAAACTCGCGCGTTTCCTTTATTAAAAGTACGTGGAAAATACAATATTTTCCACGTTAGCGCAGGTACATTAACGTTAGCGTATCCAAATGGGAATATCGCATGGTTATTTGCGAAACTGGAATTTTACCAGAAAAACATTTACGTCGGGGGTAAACAGAGGCAAAATGTATTTTTATATCTTTATAGAAGTGGCTAAATTCTCGGGAGTAACAAACTCATATACTCGTTTCCTCACTATGATTCGGATAACTGTTATAATACGAATTAGCGTGTTGTGAAATTTACCCGAGGAGACAGCGCCTTTACATAAATTCATTTCGAATGTAAACACCGATTTGTATTCAATAGCTTCCCATCTAGAACGAGCGTGGTGCTGCTTTTATGCCATTCGATTTAAATCGACTTCGTTAAAGACGTCCTTAGGCAAAGTTTGTATATTAACAGATCATCATTATCATCATCATCGTCTTCCGCTTTTTGTCTGCGTGGGAACTTGAGATGACTATTTATTTAAATGCCTAAGAATAATTGGGCTGCTGATTACTGCTCGAGAAACAACTCTTATCATTTTATTTTGTATTTATAATTACGCCTTTAATTTGTACATAATATTTTACTTCCTTAAAAAGAAAAAATTTTTATGTAGACGTACCCGCGCAAGCGTAATTGTAATTTCTGCGAGCGCGGAGTTTCGTCTCGACTTAAGCAAATTCGGACGTGGCGCGCGTGGTTTGGCTGGTACGAACTGTACGAAGCGCGGTTTTCACTTCGCGATTGCCACACTTCGCGCCTCGCCTTGAGACGTCACTGTCTTTAAGCGGCGAAGGCGGGAGTCCGACCACGTATACGTATTATACGGCACCTTAATATTCAGCATGAATTCGGCGGATTTTCTCGGAGGCGCCCAACGCGCGCGCGCGCTCGTCGAGACACGCCTTTGACATTTCGTTGGCTCTTGAATATAAATCAGTATTATCTATACGCGATTAGTTGGTATCGATCGGTTAACACACGTCGAACGATCGACGGTGCGTAGTGTTGTGCAGAAAAAATTATCGCGCGAAGCGAAAAACGAGACAGCCGTATATATACGCTGTGGGTGAAAGCAGAAACGGGCGCGCGAACCGGGGGGCCGCTCCAGTTCCTCTGCCCACGCTCCGAACCCCTGTAAAATCGAATCGCATTTAGGCGCGATATCCAGTCGCGTCACGTTTAATCGGAGAGAATATTCCTATCCTCGGCGACTTCATAAGCCACTGCGTTTATGGAAACTTTCCTCAGCCAGCTATCTCTAGAAGCCACTTTCTTCTCACGCGAAACTACCGCCATCAAAAATGATCGTGACGTTCGGTCTATCTTGGGTTTCAATCTGCAACGCGCCGCTTTTTCGGGTGTACTCTTTAAGTTTGTTCTTTTCGATAAGCTATCTATTGATAAACGGTATAGGCGCGCGTTATCCATCCATTTTTACGTTGGCCACGACTTGATGCGATCGCGTTTACCGTCTAACAAAGCCGTTTTTAGCGCTAACGTAAGCGTAAAAATTATCGCCTGAGCGCACAGTTACTGACCTAGCTCAATATTTCTGGCACAGCGAGAAAGAGTGAGAGAGGGGAGGGGGAGAAAAACGAAGTATTTACGTCGGCACCCGCACAGACTGCATTATTTTATTTTGTAATTTCTCCTGGGCCATGCTTTTCCTCCTTCGTCCCCCCCCCCCTCTCTCTCTCTCTTCAATCGTGTTCGATGCGTCGTGCGTCTCGATGACGAAGCTGAGTACATTCGCGATGCTAATCTAAACGTAAAATTTCACGCGCAGGTATGCAATCGCCGGCCTAATTTAGTCTCTTCACTTCGTCGAAATAATTTACGATGCGATTAGCTTCGCTATTTGCTTTTGTAATCGCTTCCACTCAATTATCCGCTGATGCAGGAGGCCGCCCAGAAAGGACGAGCACGGTTCGTTATCAGAATGAATTTCGACTCCGTGTAAAACTTGTCAGCTGAAAATATATAGAAGCAGCATTTGTGATGCGATGATAGATGTCAGATAACATATCGATTTA